TATCAATACCATCAGGTTACCTGAAAGGCTTTTGAAGCTGATCCAACAGTAGCTGGACTGTTGAGGCTTTTGTGCTTCCTGGTGTGATACAGGGGACACCCACACCACAGGAGGAGGAAGGATGAACACTCTCACTGCCAGCTAGGTAACTCTTTTCCTCATACATACATAAGTTACAAGTTATGAATTAGAGAACCTGTGAGTTAGAAAATTCAGGAATTAATGAAGTGATGAGTTAGTGAATTCACATTTTAGCCAAGTCTGTACAAAAGGGGATAGAGCCCTTGTGTGACATGCTTATTTGTCTTCTTTCCTAATGACCTTATGAAATAAAGTTCAATTTACAGAGTATGTTGTCCTGTAAATTTGAGATATCTAAATGAACCGTGACATTCCAACCTCAAAAGTAATCCACAAAATTAAACAGTAGGGATTATTCAGAAAGCAACACAAGACAAAATAGAAAACACCAAAAACCACTGTGCACATTTCATCTACTCACATACCATCTGCAGGTCTGCCTCTTAAGGAAAGACTGTCTTAAGGAACAAAGGAGGACAAAGACAGATGAAGATATGGAATTCCATACAATAGCAGACATGGGATAATTCTATGAAAACACAAGAGCCATTGTGCCCTTTCACTCATGCTGGGAGCAGTGCCATCAGGTCAAAGAAAGAGCAACACATCTGCAGGACAGGATGGTCAGGAAGGGATAAAGGTCATTATGCAGCCGTTACCACCTGCAGCTCGCTGTCTCCTGCTGCCATTGTCTCCTCTTGCATATTCATCATCTGGAGGTTTCTTCAGAATCCTCTAATTTATGGAATGGTATAGACCAAACTTCCAAGCTGGAAGGTATCAATACCATCAGGTTACCTGAAAGGCTTTTGAAGCTGATCCAACAGTAGCTGGACTGTTGAGGCTTTTGTGCTTCCTGGTGTGATACAGGGGACACCCACACCACAGGAGGAGGAAGGATGAACACTCTCACTGCCAGCTAGGTAACTCTTTTCCTCATACATACATAAGTTACAAGTTATGAATTAGAGAACCTGTGAGTTAGAAAATTCAGGAATTAATGAAGTGATGAGTTAGTGAATTCACATTTTAGCCAAGTCTGTACAAAAGGGGATAGAGCCCTTGTGTGACATGCTTATTTGTCTTCTTTCCTAATGACCTTATGAAATAAAGTTCAATTTACAGAGTATGTTGTCCTGTAAATTTGAGATATCTAAATGAACCGTGACATTCCAACCTCAAAAGTAATCCACAAAATTAAACAGTAGGGATTATTCAGAAAGCAACACAAGACAAAATAGAAAACACCAAAAACCACTGTGCACATTTCATCTACTCACATACCATCTGCAGGTCTGCCTCTTAAGGAAAGACTGTCTTAAGGAACAAAGGAGGACAAAGACAGATGAAGATATGGAATTCCATACAATAGCAGACTAAAATCATAGAATCATAGAACTGTCTAGGTTGGAAGGGACCTTTAAGATCATCTAGGCCAACCATCAACCTAACTCTGATAAAAAAAATCACTAAACTATGTCACTAAGCACTATGTCAACCTGTCTTTTAAATACCTCCAGGGATGGTGGCTCAACTGCTTCCCTGGGCAGCCCATCCCAATGCTTAATAACCCTTTCAGCGTAATAAATTTTCCTAATATTCAATCTGAACCTCCCCTGGCACAACTTGAGGCCATTTCCTCTTGTCCTGTCGCCTATGATTTGGGAGAAGAGATTGACCTCTGCCTTGGTAGACCCTCCTTTCAGGTAGTTGTAGAGAGCGATAAGGTCTCCCCTCAGCCTCCTCTTCTTCAGACTGAACAACCCCAGATCCCTCAGCCTCTCCTCATAAGACTTACTCTCCAGACCCCTCACCAGCTTCATTGCCCTTCTCTGGGCCCACTCCAGCACCCCAGTGTCTTTTTTGTGGTAAGGGGGCCAAAACTGGACACAGTGGAAAAGAGACAACAAAGTGGTATATGATCAGTGGATATAAAATCAGAAATTGAATGAAAAAAGGAAATAGTGCTTTTCCTGTGTTTCAGGAAATCTAATCCGTGGGGCCTGTAAGGGAGGGATGAAAAACTACAGCCCCTCACATTGCCTCCTAGACATATATTGACAGCCTGTTGGAGGCAGGCTATATGAACTTCTAACTGACCTAGTATAGCTGTTCTTCTGCTCAATGTACTTGTCTAGCTTCTCATTTTGTCACTCCCTTCCTGATCTCACGGGGCCAGCAGGAAATAGGACGAGACAAGGGGAAAGGCGCAACTGAACCTGCCAGACAACGGAGGGAAGCAGGAAGGATTCTTGTTCAATGAGAATCACCATTCGCTTTAACAGTGCCCACACCTACACTGCCGATCTGACTTAAATAATGATGTTTGTATTAGTGTGTCACCATCATTTAAAGCATGCCTCTGAGTGAATGTTGATGCAGCACCAGGAGTGATGAAATGACCCAAAGAGGAAGGCACTTAAAAAACTAAAGAGGTGATCCCCCTTCAAAGGAGTTTGTGAGCTGCCAGAGGGTGAGCACATTGCTTGCCCAGGGTCTGGTGCCGTGGCTGCAGCACAAGAGGACGCAGTGATACCGTGTAGCAGGTGGTTCTATGGGTTGCAATCAACCAGGGAACCAGGGTAGTAGCATGTCCAGCAGATGCATGCCTATGGTTGAGCTTTTAATTTAGATCTCAAAAGGAAAGGAGTGTGAGAGTGGCCTTCATGATGTATCATCAGAAAACGGACACAGGTCAGAAACCTTAACTGAGAATTTTTTCTGCTGCCAGTGGTGGCTGAATTAGAAGACCAGCCTTCCTCCTGTCATTAAAGGTGGTAAAGGAGACTTGGCTGCCGTCTCTCTTGTCCCCTGGATGACTTATTCCTATAGGAGACGTGCAAGTTTGCAGCTGCCACCCCTTTTTAGTCAAATTTGGTTAAAAATGGCCAATACATCCCAAAAATCAACAGGAGGAGGGAGGGACAGAAACACAGAATCACGTGGGGTTGGAAGGGACCTCTGGAGATCATCTGGTCCACCCCCCCAGCCAAAGCAGGTCCACCTACAGCAGGTTGCACAGGAACTTGGGTCCAGATGGGTTTTGAATGTCTCCAGAGAAGGAGACTCAACGATCACTCTGGACATCCTGTTCCGGTGCTCTGCCACCCTCAAAGTAAAGAAGTTCCTCCTCATGTTTAGGTGGAACTTCTTATACTCAAGTTTGTGCTCATTTCCTCTTGACGGGACCTCAGGGACTGCCACTGCATGGGCCTCACTCCCTGCAGGCAGGTTAGAGAAAGACTGATGCCGTGAAAGACGAAATCAGGACTCAATAGCCGGGATGACTATTAAGCAGGTATTCTTTATTGCAGCGCTGGACGCACAGAGGATCGCTCCTCCAAATGTGCGTGCCACCTGAGACATTTCTCTTGAACTTATACAATGAAGTATTCCCTATTCATAAAGCGCCTATACATATATTCATAACCTGTCCCCGAAAGGGCAGTCTTTATTATAATGACTCTCTGCCTTTAATTCCTCCCAGCTGCTCATGCGCAGTGCTTCCTGGTGGTCGTGGGCCGGGGTCTTGGGATGAAGGCCGTATGTCTTCCTCGCTGTGCACTTTTCACCTTTTGGGATAATCGCCTTCTCAAGACAGCTGTGTTCCTTCTTTGAATCCCCTATCTCCCAGCAAGGTCGACATGACTGTTTTACTGCTTCAAGACATCCTTCCTTGTTTAAACATCCTTCCAGTAATTCATTAACATACCTTTGGGCCCCCCATAAAATAACATTGTGCTGGTCTCAGGATTATTCCCTACATGCCTGCCTTCCTGTTTTGTCCCTTATCGTAGCTCTGCAGGAGTTGCAGGCCCCTGTTCGTGATCAGTCAGGCTACATTTGCTAAATCATACCTGGCTTTATTCTTTAATTCAGCCTTTTGGGTGACCCTGGGTATCTGGGAGCATCTCAGCAGGCCAGGGGAGCTACTGGGCCCTGCGGGTACCGAGGGCACCTCCAGTACCTGGGGCTGAGGCCTCTCAGAGGGCTGCTCCCCCTCAGAGGGCTGCAAAGGGCTGTCCCCCCTCAGAGGGCTGTCCCCCCTCAGAGGGCTGCGAAGGGCTGCCCCCCCTCAGAGGCCTGCTTCCCCTCAGAGGGCTGCAAAGGGCTGTCCCCCCTCAGAGGGCTGCTCCCCCTCAGAGGGCTGAAAAATAACATTGTGCTGGTCTCAGGATTATTCCCTACATGCCTGCCTTCCTGTTTTGTCCCTTATCGTAGCTCTGCAGGAGTTGCAGGCCCCTGTTCGTGATCAGTCAGGCTACATTTGCTAAATCATACCTGGCTTTATTCTTTAATTCAGCCTTTTGGGTGACCCTGGGTATCTGGGAGCATCTCAGCAGGCCAGGGGAGCTACTGGGCCCTGCGGGTACCGAGGGCACCTCCAGTGCCTGGGGCTGAGGCCTCTCAGAGGGCTGCTCCCCCTCAGAGGGCTGAAAAGGGCTGTCCCCCCTCAGAGGGCTGCGAAGGGCTGTCCCCCCACAGAGGGCTGCGAAGGGCTGCCCCCTCGCAGAGGGCTGCCCCCCCCCTCAGAGGGCTGCTTCCCTTCAGAGGGCTGCAAAGAGCTGTCCCCCTCAGAGGGCTGCTTCCCCTCAGAGGGCTGCTTCCCTTCAGAGGGCTGCAAAGAGCTGTCCCCCTCAGAGGGCTGCTTCCCCTCAGAGGGCTGCTTCCCTTCAGAGGGCTGCAAAGAGCTGTCCCCCTCAGAGGGCTGCTTCCCCTCAGAGGGCTGCTTCCCTTCAGAGGGCTGCTTCCCCTCAGGGCACAGACCCCGCCCTGCGTGGCGACAGACACAGGCCACGTCCCCGGGACGGCGCAGGAGGGCCACGCACCCCGCTCCGCCCCTTGGCCTCTCCCGGGGGCGGCCCCTCCCCTCTCCCCCGCGGCGCCGGTTTCGTTTTCGTTTCCTCGGCCCGGCGAGAGGAGCGTCCCGGGGCGGGGCCGCCCCGCTTGGAGCAGGGCTCCGGCCGAGGGGTCGGCAGGTCCGGGCAGCGGCCATGGCGTTGGCCGCCCAAGCCCTGCGGCTGCTGTGCGCCAGCGGCGGCTGCCTGGAGCAGAGGGAGCTCCAGCGGCGGCTGCCGGGCCAGCTCACGGCGGAGCAGGTGGCGCTGGTGCTGCGGGACCCGCAGCGGTTCACGCTGGTGCGGCGGCCCGGCGAGGCGGGGGCCGGGGCGGCGGCGGTGGTGGTGGTGGCCACCAGCCCCCTGCGGCTGTGCCAGGAGGACGGGACGGGCTGCGAG